AAAATTATCGTGATATTTTTATTTTTGGCCATATCGCCCAGCCCTAGTTACCGGTGTTACTTAGTTGCGGTCAGATTTTACTTCTCACACCATGAGAGGAAGGAGTGATGACTGATGGCTGAGGATTTGATATTTCGCAGATCATGACTAATATCTTATCTTGTAATGTAAAATGTGCGGTCATTCCGCCGCTCCCTATACACACACAGTATACAAGATCACGAAGTGGCATTCGAAAGCATAACTACCCCCACAGAAATGGATTGAAACAGACTTTCTATATGATTTGTCTCTGCCTACATCTCTGCCTACATAATGTAAAGCTAGCCAGTCATTACCATTGTGCTGACTGCACATTATCCCTTTGGAAAGCCATATCAAAAATGGTCAGCATCCTGAAGGCGTTTGATTTATTCGTTGATCTCATTTTTTTCCCATTTCATTCCAAACCTCTATTTCTGACTCATCATGCATTACTGCTGCCGCTTTCCCCTGCAGAATCCTATTTAGCAACAAGAAAACTGCTTCCTTATCTAGTTAGATTGACTTTTACTGACAGTACACAGGGCAAGTTTTCACCAATAGCAACAGGGATTGACCATGACTAACAGTACACTGACCTAGCGACCTCCGCAGATAACATCACTGCGGCTGTGAATGGAGTTTAAGACGGGAACGGAGTGCACGGAGATCACGAAGTGACTTTAGGTGATGAGGACTGACAGAGATCTGCAGAGTGGTGTTTTTCATCATGTCTGCTTTCTTCTGCAGTGACAGAGCTTTGCCCGCGGCCTGCATTGCACAAACCATCTGACCCAAATACAGACGAGCACAGAAAAGCTGCTGAAGTTGATTCTCTCTCCCTCTCGTCCTCTGCACTGCTTTCTTCTGTTATTCTCACAGTTTCTGTCCTCTAAAAGTAGATGAACTCATTGGCACTGGCCGGGCTGTTTCATGACACACACACACTCGCACACACTAATCTCTTCTGCCTATTAACATTTTTCCGTTTTCTTCTGCTACTTTGTCCAAGGACAAAAGGGTTTTCTTTATCCAGTGACAAAAAACTCACTGACCAATAAGATACATCTTTCAGGAGCCTCTGCTTAAAAGCAACTTCGTTTTTCACTCAAAAGTGGCTCTAAACACACTAGCGTTCAAATGTTTACGGTCAGTGAGATTTCTTTTGTGTGTGCCTTTGAAATAAGTCTCGTCTGCCTGCCTAGGCTGCATTTATTTTGATGTAAAATAGTAATATTGTGATTTACAATAACTGTTTTCTAGAATCTGAATATATTTGAAACTAGTTTATGTGATCAAAGCTGAATATTCAGCATCATTACTCCAGTCTTGAGTAGGGTTGGGTATCGAGAATCGAGTATCGATTGGAACCGAGACTAACTTTTCGTTTTTCCCGGAATCGTTCAAAAGTTAAAATTTCGATTCCTAGTTTCGATATTCGCAGTCCGCCGAGCGGAAGAAGAAACAGCTGAACAACACCAATGAAGAAGCGTCTACCGGAAGTGTTGGCATAACCACGCGAGTCGAACATGAGTAGCTTACGTCGGCGATCCAAAGTGTGGCGTCACTTTTCTAAAAATAACGAAATCTCGGCAAAATGCAAAATTTGTGACAAAAGGAGTATTTTTACAGAAGGAGTATTTCCTTCAGAAAGGATTATTTCTTTCAGAAAGGCCGTTGGTTAGCAAGGTTAGCTAAACTTTTTTGACCCTGCCTCTTAAAAGAATCAGAATCGAGAATCGTTAGGAACCGAAATCGAAACAAGGAATCGCAATCGGAATCAGAATCGTTCAAATTCAAACGATACCCAACCCTAGTCTTGAGTGTCACATAATCCTTCAGAAATCATTATAATATAGGGCTGTCAAACGATTAATCGCGATTAATCGCATCCAAAATAAAAGTTTGTGTTTACATAATATATGTTGGTGCACTGCATAATCATTTTGTATATATAAATACACACACATGCTTGTATATATTTAAGAAATATTTTCATGTATATACTGTTAATAGATTTATTATATATAAATGTAATTATTTTATATATACATTTTTTTTTCTTAAATATACATCCATGTGTCTGTATTTATACTATATATCCAAAATGATTATACACAGTGCACCCACATATATTATGTAAACACAAACTATTATTTTGGATGCGATTAATCGCGATTAATCATTTGACAGCCCTAATAATATGATGATTTGCTGCTCAAGAAACATTTCTGATTATTATCAACTTTGAAAACAGTTGTGCTGCTTTAAATTTTTGATGATTAAATGTGTCAGCATTTATTTGGAGTCTTTATCGGCTCAAGGTTTCAGTCAACATCAATGAATATTGCGTAGCCTATTAATGCCAAACGATTGATTATTATTTTCTGTTGATGGAGTTCATGGCGTTTACATTATATTGTGAATAAGAGTGCATATTTTATCCTGCTCATCTTTTTGAATGAGCAGCTGGAAGTAGTAAAGTATAGACATTACAAAATAAGAGTCCTGCTTTACTTATAATTAAAGGTTTTGCCATAGGCATTTTTTTCCCTGGTAGTTGTTGGTGTTTTGGTTACAAAGTAAACCGTTTCTGCCATTTAATTCAACAAGTTTTTCTGTCTGGGCTTTACCATCACGGGAAGGAAAGACTAAGAACATGATTTGAATGATTCAATAGATTTTTACTAGTATCAGCAGCACAGCAATCTTTGTTGCATGCATATATTTGCACACACACAGTTTAAAGAAGGCCTGTACATATTTACATAATATACAGTTTGAACCAGAAATGTTTTAATAATACATTTAAGTACTATACATTTTTTTTATTTTATTGTAGATTTAATTTTGTAACCATTATTTTATACATTTTCATCCTAAAGTTTTTTTCTAATGTGCTCCTAGATTGCTTAACTTAAGAGCATGTATGTGTTCCTTGGGGGGAAACTAACTGTAGGCTACACACACACACAATCAAGAATAACACTTTCAGTTGGGAACCAGTGTGTGTGGTGTTTGTTTCTATTGCTCACACATCACAGGCAAGCTGGGCTTGGCACTGGTTTCTTATGCTAATGTGCTATTGTGTTTTCCTTCTTGCAAGACAAGCTGTTACTTACTGCCTGTACGTGTGTGAGTGTGTATGAGTGCGTACGCGTTTTTTCTAGCTCATTCAAATGAGTGTCACGTTATGCTGTTGAAATCTGATCTTCTGTGGACTGTAAAGGGAAATGAAGCTTTACCTGTTTCTCTGTTGCTCTGAGACGTTCAGTCTTCGGTGTCTGGCTCTGATGTGACTCAGCAGTGCGTGTGTGTGCGCTGGTGCATTCAGTGTTGACACCGCTCTGATCTTGTTTAATGTTGGTGTTAGCGAGAGAGAAATATTGTGTGTGTGATGCAAAGGCATAGCCTTGCAGTTTAAAATGCCTTGCTCCTATGCGGCTGCAAACCCTTTCACAAGCACACACCTTTTGCTTTCAGAACACATGATTCATATTCAGTGGATATCGGCATAAAAAAGTCCATATCAGAACAACAATTCAGTACCATTGGATGTTAACATTTTAATGTAACATTATCATTCTTCACTATACACTAAAGGATTAGTAGGAACACCACACTAATACTGTGTTTGACCCCCTTTCGCCTTCAGAACTGCCTTAATTCTACGTGGGATTGATTCAACAAGTGCTGAAAGCATTCTTTAGAAATGTTGGCCCATATAGATAGGATAGCATCTTGCAGTTGATGGAGATTTGTGCACGAAGCTCCCGTTCCACCACATCCCAAAGATGATCTATTGGGTTGAGATCTGGTGACTGTGGGGGCCATTTTAGTACAGTCAACTCATTGCCATGTTCAAGAAACCAATTTGAAATGATTGGAGCTTTGTGACATGGTGCATTATCCTGCTGGAAGTAGCCATCAGAGGATGGGGACATGGTGGCCATAAAGGGATGGACATGGTCAGAAACAATGCTCAGGTAGGGTGTGGTACAAAGTATTTAAACGAGGGTTAGGGGCCTAAAGTGTGCCAAGAAAACATCCCCCACACCATTGCACCACCACCACCAGCCTGCACAGTGGTAACAAGGCATGATAGATCCATGTTCTCATTCTGTTTACGCCAAATTCTGACTCGACCATCTGAATGTCTCAACAGAAATCGAGACTCATCAGACCAGGCGACATTTTTCCAGTCTTCAACTGTCCAATTTTGGTGACTCTTGCAAATTGTGGCCTCTTTTTCCTATTAGTAGTGGAGATGAGTGGTACCCGGTGGGGTCTTCTGCTGTTGTAGCCCATCCGCCTCAAGGTTGTGCGTGTTGTGGCTTCACAAATGCTTTGCTGCATACCTCGGTTGTAACGAGTGGTTATTTCAGTCAAAGTTGCTCTTCTATCAGCTTGAATCTGTCGGCCCATTCTCCTCTGACCTCTCGCATCAACAAGGCATTTTCGCCCACAGGACTGCCGCATACTGGATGTTTTTCCCTTGTCACACCATTCTTTGTAAACCCTAGAAATGGTTGTGTGTGAAAATCCCAGTAACTGAGCAGATTGTGAAATACTCAGACCGGCCCGTCTGGCTCCAACAACCATGCCACGCTCAAAATTGCTTACATCACCTTTCTTTCCCATTCTGACATTCAGTTTGGAGTTCAGGAGATTGTCTTGACCAGGACCACACCCCTACATGCATTGAAGCAACTGCCATGTGATTGGTTGATTGAGTGTATATATGACTAATAATGACTGAGTGTCATTTCACTTGCACTGGCATTGACTGCTGAAGTTTTGGTACTATAACAACCATTGTATTTGTTGCAAGTAAAATGGTTGTTTTTTGCATGCTTTTTCCTATCATTTAGACATTTTTAGTTATTATTGGACCAGATGTGAAGCTGATAGAAGTCTGTGTCTGTAGGCCTAGTCTTGCTGCTGGTTTCCGTGTGAATCTGTGTGAACCGTCTCTCTGTGTCTCTGTCTGCAGGAGGAGGCTGAGCAATGAATAAGCTACGGCAGAGCTTCCGGCGAAAGAAAGACGTTTACGTGCCCGAGTCCAGCCGGCCGCACCAGTGGCAGACAGACGAGGAGGCCGTGCGCGGGGGCAAGTGCAGCTTTGCTGTGAAGGTGATGAACACACACACACACACACACACACACACACACAACTGTGCTCAACCACCTGCAGCTGTCAATCGTTTAATGTTGTTCATGCTTGAGATAACTAGAGTTTTTGGCCACTTGTTGTCTGCTACTTGTCTGAACACTTGTCTCTGACCTAATTTTGGAAAATGAAAAAGGGTGTGACATACAGCGTGTTCTTCTGTGCTCTGTACAGGTCACAGATGAAGAACCTTAGCTTTATAAAACATTTTTAACATTTTCTAAGACATTCGTGGACATTCTTTAAAAATAATAAGTAAAATTCACTAGGGCTGTCAATATTAATCCGTTAATTGTTATTCTGTCATTCTTTGGCCAGCGTTAAATTGTATAGTATGATCACGCTCTTATTCATGTAAATGCTTTTAAACTATTCGAGCACGATCAGACACTGTGAATCTCCTGTGAATCTCCTGACACACACACACACACACTCGTATGCACAGAAAGTGACCTCAGACAGTGCTTGAACGGACAAAAACACTCAAAAGTATCCCAAAATGCCAGTTTTGTTGAGTATCTTCGCAAGCACAGTCCTAAATGTGTTAAACGAATGTAAAGATTTGTAAGGAAATGTATATCAGATCCGCGTGATGTGAGTCAGGTCTTAGTGACAGCAGCCTAATAATGTTAATCAAATAAATCTGCTGCTGTCTGTCATTAACCCTCTGGGGTCCAAGGTGTTTTTGGGGTCCTTGAGATGTTTTGACATGCCCTGACATTTGTGCTTTTTTCACATATTAATGGCACAGGTGAAATTACACTCTTTTTAGCACAAACAGGGCTACCATAATATGTGAGCAACATGTATGTACATGTTTATGTTTTTGAGAGAATATTGTTTATGTGTGGTTATTGAAAAAACTAAAAATGAAAGTTTCTGAAATAAGGCCATAAAACACATACAACACTTTTGACAAATGGATGTTGTCACCATGAGTTTTTTCTTCAAAATGATCTAAAAATCATCCTGCCTAATCATTCACATAAAACTGTGAATTGGGTTATATTGTGAAAAAAATTTTTTTTTTTTTGCTAAGGCAATATGCGAATGGGCGTGAACGGTCCAACCCCATCTTGTATAATTAGGAGATTCTCACCTGACCCGCATAATAATGAGCCTTTATAATTAGGTGAAAGGAAAAATACTGACATCTCTCTATTTTCATACAGATTACATTAACTGAGAATAGTTGCTTTTTTATATAAATTGCTTAATTTAAAAGAATAGAATCTCAGCTTCATAAAGAGAAATCTTTTGTGTCTCTGTGACAAGTATTTAATGAGTCACAGTTCATTTTTCGGACGCGTTTCAGAAAGATTTTTGCGGCGACAGATTGAGCCGAAAGCACACCCTGTTTATTTTATTTATTTTACAAAAACACAAGGTTTTGATGTTAATAAGCGTATACACAAAAAAGAAGAACCTCTATAGTTTATAATCATGTATTGATTTTATTTATATGACCATTAATGATGGAGTATTTTAAGTCTATGTTGCAGCTATGTAAAAATAAAAAAAACTAACAAAACGCACCGGCGCGTTTGCCGACCTCAGAGGGTTAATGGTAATCAGAGAACAAGAGGAAAAGAGAAAATCACTCACTGCTCTAGATTGAATATCTAGATTTGTATCTTTATTAAGTATTAAGGCCATTGCACACTGAGTACGAAATATTCGTATGCGTATTTTCGTGTTCGTCAGCCTAAAAATTCGTCTTGCACACCGAGTCCGATGCGTATTTATTAAACCTTTGCAGTAAAAACGCAAAAATAAATAAATGGATTCGTCAAGCAGTGAGGATGATTTTTGCCCTCTCTCATATTGAAAAGAGAAGAAAGAGAAAATATTACGTCCATCCAATCCTGAAATTGCGCCGAGAGGAAGGAGAGTTCCTTAAGGAGTTGCGAATTTATCCTGAGCGATTCAAAATTTACCTCAGAATGTCAGTGGGACAGTTTGATGCTTTGCTAGCGATTCTGGAGCCACATATTAAAAACAAGACCACCAATTTCCGTGAACCAATCGATTCTGAACGGAGACTGGCAGTGTGTCTGGTATGGACACACACAAACACACCCGCGCGCGGCCCGGTGGAAGCGCTGGGCAGACAGAACAGCTAGGCTGTTATTGTGTATATATTGTGTATATATTGTGCCCAAATAATACATTAGTTATCGAATAGGCTGCTCAATCACACCTTATTCGATCCTAAATTTCAATCTGTTTGAAAGGGGAGGTCTATTAATTTCATAATCCAATATAGAGAAGAGAACATAAACACTTGATCGAATTCAAAACCGAAACTGAAAGCACGGCGCATATGTGCAATGATTTGAGGACGAGCTCCCCCCTGCCCTGAATTGTCAAAAGACCTCTCAAAATGCTGGCTCTGGATGCGAAAAACGCAGAAAATCGAACCCGATCCGATTAATTTTATGACGGACGACAGTTTCGGAGGCGGTGTGCAAGCATGACTGACATAACGTGAGGTCGAATTTTTTTTTTTAACGTGCGAAAATTTCGTATGTGAATTTCGGACTCAGTGTGCAATGGCCTTTAATCTATGTTGAATTTTTTATTTATCAGTCCCTCCAGGATTTCACGATTTTTTTTGTGATTTTTGCGATCAAAATGACTGATTTTGTGGTGGTAATTTCCAAAAATTTGTGAAAAAATTTGCGATTTACATTTAACATTTACCATAATAGTATTCAGTCCTTCCAGAAAAACGCTGAGTTTTTTTGTGATTGTTGCGGGCAAAAATTGATCGATTATGCGGCCAGTTTTCTTTAAAAATGCGATGGAATATGTGGGATATTTATGCAATTTTATGCGATGAAATTGCTGGAATTTGCAAAAATTGAGGGAACTTGCAAAAATTGCGGTTTGATGAAAAAGAGAAAAAAGTGATTCCCCCAACATCCTGTTAATGTAAGAGTAATTTCTTATTACTTCCTTTGATAAACAAGCATACTACATCATAGAAAGTGCTGGGAATATTTAATTTCTCATCTTGTTTTATTTCAGACTGTAAGAGTGTAAATAAGGTGTGGCCCCTTTAAGAGCTGCGCGCTCCCTGTTGAACTCTCTGCAGTGTTATATTATATGTGCGCCTCGAACACCCCATGTGTGCGTGTAATTTCTGTTTGATGCAACTTCTTTTATCTTATGTTGTTTATTAAGTAACGATGTGACGGTAGAACGTGTGACAGACAGTTACACGAGTTCGATTTGTGAGATTTTAATCGCCTCCGTGAGTCTCGTAATTGCGTAATTGCGTCACTTCATAACGTTCCCATGGAAACAGGGGGAAATGGCTGCTCTTATGTGAAGCAAACACAACATTTTTCAACTTTCTGCTAAGATACATGTGACTTTTTTTTGCAACGAAAATGCGAGGATTATGAAATTATGCAAACCCCGCATATTTTGCACGAAAATCGGCAATTTATGCGGGGAAAGTGCGGCGTATTTGAAAAAATGCGGCCCCCGCATAAATATGCGGACTTTGGCTGATTTTGCATTGAATTCAGCGATCGCATAATCGCGTTTTTCTGGAGGGACTGATTTATGCAGTGAATATCCTGTACAATATCCATCCCCAACTTGCTTTTGATTGGTCTCTGGCTTTCGCATTTACCCACAATCCCACAGAGAGAGCCAACTGAAATCAAAGACGAGTCCAGATTCTGACCGTCACTGCTGTGTGCACCTCTGTTTTTAGGCTGGCTTATTATTCTACCATAAGGTCACAGTAAATCGGTGGCCTCTGGTGGAACTGTGTGTGTGTGTGTTCTGTTGTCATGTCCTAGTTTCACTCTCATCATCTGAGCTCTTATTTCTCCACCTGCTGATCATAAATATACTCCATACAGCTCAGTGTGTGTGTGTGTATAAAGCAGTGAGTCAGTGTTTTTTTGGCTTTTGTTCAGTTGAGGTGCTTTTTCGGGAGAATGACATCCAGTGATTCACTTGTTTAGGTGCATAAAATAACCTTTTCTAAAAATTCTCTTCTCTTTTATTCTATTTTCTGTTTTGGAGTCGTTTATAAAGGAATAGCTGACCCAAAAATGAAAATGACCTGATTATTTACTCACCCGACAGGATGAGTAGATGTATATGAAATCATCAGCTGAATAGAAATTTAAGATTTTGGAGGAAATCAAAAGATTTGTCTTCATCTAATGCCAGTGAACGGTGCTCAGCGTCTGCAGGACTTTCTTTGTAATTCTCGGATTAGTTTACGATGAATTAATTACCTTTGAATTAATCAGTCCTTCCAAAAAAAAAAAAAAAACGTGATTATGCGATCGCATAATTTAGTTCATAATCATCCAAAGTCCGCATAAATTGCAGATTTCTGTACAAAATATGCAGGGCTTGCATGATTTCATAATCCTTGCATTTTCGTTGCAAAAAAGTCTCATATATCTAAACAGAAAGTTGAAAATGTTGCGTTCCCCCTGTTGCCATGGGAACGTGATGTAATTACGCGACGTGAACATCATCGACAAGCTGTAATACAGGAGCACACTTTATTGTTTAATATTTTATTTATAATTTTTTACAGAAGTTGTAGCATATTCCTTTTGTAAAGCTACAGAACTTGTTCGACTTATCAATGTTTTGTAAGTTTGATTTGTTTATTAATGTCTGAAATAAAACAAGTTGAGAACTTAAATATTCCAGCACTTTCTGTGATGTAGTATGCTTGCTTATCATAGGGAGTAATAAGAAATGACTCTTTATATTAAGGTAGTAGTCTAGTGAGAACAGGGTGTTGGGGGAAACACTTTTTTTTTTCTCTTTTTCATCAAACCGCAGTTTTTGCAAGTTCCCGCAATTTAATCGCATAAAACTGCATACATATCCTGCATATTTCATCGCATTTTTAAAGAAAACGGGCCATATAATCAAGGATTTTTGCCCAGAACAATCACAAAACAAACTGCGACTGATT